CACACACACACACACACACACACACACACTGTATATATGGAACAGTGGCCAGTAATACAGTTGTCTTTATACTTACCCGAGGACAGATTTCACTGTATTTAATAGGACTTAGATGCATCAGATTGTGTTTCAAATAAACAACTTTCAGTGAATGAGGATATGATTACATAACACTAATAGCAAGCATTTTCCTGGAGTAGATTCTTTCTTGTTTTTACCAACAATTTTAAAACCTTTCATCCAGGTATTATAAGACGACTGCCCTTTTTCTCTTTTTTTTAAACAAAATTCATCCTTTTATTTCATAATAGATATTATAAATAATTGAAAGTGTGCATGCAGTCAACTGCATATTATACAAGCAATATCTATGTTAATAACTGTTTTCTTTGGCAGGCCAGAATCCAGCTGGACATGCAATATTTACATATCAAAATCCATTGTTCAGGTTCAAGTCATATTGAATGCAAGTGAAAATATATATTTTATATTTATAATTTATATATACACCTACACAAACTACAACTCTGCATTCATCTCTTTTTCTTTGGGTCTGTATCTATACAGACAAACAGAAACTCTTACAAAAGCTCTCACACAGACATGTGTTTGTATATCTGTGTAGGAGTATGCGTGCATGCCCATTTCACAGCATACGCTTGGTATACAAAGAAAAATAGGAATATATTAAAAGTGAATTTCATCCTTTTCTGATTCAGGTGAGACAGGCCTTGAGACACTAAAAATGTCCTGACAAGGTATTTGTGATGGTAGCTGAGGAGATAAACGTGATTTTGAAGATGTTGTCTGCGATGTGTTCTTTTCAGACAAGATTTTTAAAATGTCCGCCACCTGCTTCTCCAGGATGGCCATCCGGCTGCTTATTAGCTGGATATCTTCCTTGAGTTCGTGTTTGATCTCCTGGAGGGTAGTTTGTAAGGCTTGTTCTGGGATAGGGTAAAAGGGGTGTTTTGTATCTGGTTGACAAGGGCTGTGCTCTAGGGGGCTACGGTTCTCCCCAGCTTTGTCCAAACGAAGGTCACTTTTTGTGATCCCACTGTCACAGGAGTCCGTTTTCCTCAGTGGGTTTTTTGTTACATTTTCTGAGTCAATGTTCTTGGGGTCCTCTGACAACAGCCCCATAGACTCTGCCTTGGTGACGTTATTCCACTCTTCCTTTTTCTCTTCCTGGCCTGCCATGTTGTTCTTTAATCGAAGCCACCCTTTCCCATTGCCGTTTTTCATCCTGACAGGGCTGGTAACTTTGAGACATTTGGGGTCACCATTGCTATTAGGTTTGAGCTCTGTGGCATCCCTGTTGTTTGGTTTGACCACCTCATTGGTTTTCACATAGGACAATGATGTCTGGATGGGTGTAATTTGAGATACGGTGACCACACTTGTGCCAGTGATGGCAGCACCGTTCTGCATGGTTCGGGTGTCCACCTGGAGGGTATTCCTCTCAGGATCAATGATTGTCGTCCCTTGGTTCCGCATTTCCTTCTGCTGTTTGAATTTCTGGAAGAGCTTCCTGACAGGATGGTCCACCGGGATGCTCAAGGTCACTTCGTTCTTTTGTCGCAGGCGCTCCTCCTCTTCTTTCTTGACGTCACTGATTTTTCGGAAAATAATCTGGAATGAAGGGAAATAAACAAGTTATGTGGTAAGAAGGAAATCAACTTTTGTGAGTGAAGCAGCTATATCAGTGTTTCTCAACCTTGGCAACTTGAAGATGTCCGGACTTCAANCTTCTTGGAAATTTCCATGGTTTGTTCTGACATCCAGTTTGCTTTTTTCTGTTTCTTCATCTCGTGCAGCTTTTCAGTTCATTCCACAGTTTATCCAGTCTTCTATCAATGAGGTTCAGACTTTGAAGTAATTCCTGATGTTCTCACTGAAAATTATGGCTATAATATGCTCAGGATCATAGTGTAGAAACTGGTTTATTTTCTTCTTTCTTCTTGCATATGAGAAGTTGATGATCTGTTCTACAGTCACTACCATGTCTTCCTCAGATAAATGAAAACTAATTCAACCTCAACTTTAAATCCATCCTAGGACCAGTCTCACTTCAAGCAAAAGTTGGATAACCTGTGAGAACTATGGGGAAAAAGCAGCTTGTCCCTAACACAGGATGGTTCAATGGAGTTCAGTTTGGGCTGCTCAGTGTAGTCCTGATAATAAAACAACAAAAGATATAACAGAGAAAGTCAGCTCTAGAAACTGGCATAGCACAGAAAATATGTTTTGGCATTTTTGTCTAGTTGTTGGTCAGCCTTTTTGTTTAGTTGTTGGTCAGCATTTAAAAATTGCCTTAGAACAAGGTAGACAGACCGTTCTGCTTCCACCATTGACCAACCAGCTATTTCTCCACTTCAAAAAAATAATCCAGCAGCAGACATACATTCTCTGCGGAAGGAAGAAATGGATATGATTAGGGGCCTGGAAATCTATACTTCAGACTTCAAGAATTGAGATGAATAAGTGGGTGGGATCCTGATATGTCATTTACTATGTCAGTCCCTTTGTCATTTAATGTGCATAGGGACTTCTCTGTCCCCAAATAAACTTTTCCATATCATTGTTTCCAAAATTCTTACTTATTCTTCAGTTGCCTTAGTCTACTAACTCTTTGGATCCTGTTGTTAGGCCAGACCTGATGGTAGATTAGTTAATTGCATGAGTCCTTGTTGGGTTGTCTTTGAGGATAGTGTAGCCTCATACTTTCATTCATGCTTCAGAATTCAAAACTATGTTTCTTGGAGCCAGGTTATTTGAAGAATTGTCTTATCCCAGTTAATCTACTTGTCCCAGCAGAGCAGTGAGGTGGAGTATGTTAACGAAGTCTATTTTGTAGGACCAAGAAAAAGAACCTTCTCCGTGATGACTCCTTGCCTGTGGTACATCATTCCCAAGGAAATAAGATTAGCCTCTATCTTGGTACTCTTTCAAAAGGCCATGAACACGTGATTTTGCCAATGGGCCTGAGAACCCCAGAGTGGTATGGAGCCCATCAAGTTTGATTGTTGTTGCCAGGGATGGGGTTCATTGGGTCTTGTATTTGAGATATTACTCTCGTAAGCTATAGAGTCATCATGATTAAGTTGGGCAGTGATATATTTTTTCTAAATAAAATAATTTAAAAAATTGGCTTGGACAAGCTTCCCAAGAGGACAACACAAAGTAGATTGTCCTCCTTTCCAAATTCATACATTCTTACATGGTCTTACTTAACATTTAGCACATACCCCACTTTTTAGCTCCAAACTATATTTCTAGAGAACCTTTGAAGTACATCTTTTTATTATGCAGTTTGTAAGGGTTTAAAGATTAAGTCTTACAAAAATTTAATTGCACACAAACAGGCGTCCACAAATTGATCTATAATCAAGATGGTTTTGCAATTAAAACATTACAGTCATGATTGATTTCCAAAATTCAATTGTTCTTCAGTAGACAATTGACAAGCATTATATTGCAATTTCTGCTGTGTTGATAATGTGATCTTGGGACCCACAACTCCATAACTGTGGGAGAAAAAAGATTTACTTAAAAGGCCACATGATTTTAGTTGCTGCTGGATATGTTGGTTTAGTTTCATTTTCTGTCTGCAAATGAACACACATTTGAGTCATCCATCTTTTGTAACTATTCATTTGAGGCTTAAAAAATAATAAAAAAAAAGAAGTCAGTTCACTCCTGCTCACAAATCTCTTGGATGATGTTTAGGGGAATAAGCATCATTGCCTGATACTATAAAAATTATTCATCTTTGCTCTACCAATAGGTCTCATCAATATCACCAGAAATTCAACTTGAACCCCACTGTGCCAGCAGCACGTAGAAGCCATGGTTTCTGAAAGAAATGCCATCAAAATAATAAGAGGTATAAGAAAGAGATTTTGTGGATCAAAAATAGAATAAAGGCTCAAGTATATACTATGTTTTGAATACTGTGTTAGCTGGTATAGTGCTAGAATAAGACCTGTGTAGGACCTATCAAAGACCTATCATTGATTCTATCATTTCATATATTAGTGGTTCTAACTAAATATGTTCTGTTTAAATCTTTGTAAGTTTTATTTCAACTAAGTGTCATAGGCTCTATGTAGGCCAAGGTGGCATGCACTATCCACTCTAACACCATGATTGCATTAGAAATATACATCAGTTTTATAATGTTTGCATAAAGGGTCAATACATTTTCATGCAGTGTGGACAACTGTGTGATCTTGGGGAATGTAAAGGAAAGCAAGGGAGGGACATTTTTAATACCCGTAATTTTACAAGAATCTCATGTAGGATTATAGAGGTGATTGTTTAACAGATACTGTTCCCCCAAACATTATTTGTACAATTACATTGGTTGAAAAGAAACTTCTGTTGAGATGTTTCCAGCTAAGAAACTGTGCAAATGCAAGTTGTGAGAGAAAACCTCATTTGTGATGCATTATTCAAATAGTGAACTGAGCACGGTTTTGTTTTTGCAAATGAAATGCTAACTTTCCTGGACAAAAATAAGTAATCCCCATTATGTAACACAGATTATTGATGTACAGCATCAATCAACAGTTAGCATGCAGGACTGTTTAAAAGGTCTGGGCATTTCAGTTTTACAAAATGTACCAATGCTTAAACATAATGTGTTATATAAAATTATTTAGAAATGTAGTTACAGAACTGCTAGATACTGGTTTAAATAAAGATAAGGGGATTTCAAAATAGCATGTAAAAATTGAAAAAATGAAAGAGATACATTTTTTAAAAAAAATGTATATAAGATTGAGATCAGATTTACATAAGCTAAAGTTGAAATTCATCACATCCCCATGTTGAGCATTTTTACTGAAGCCAAATTGGAAAAGTTGTTGACAAAGGCATACACAGAAGCAAGATAAAAGTTTTTTCTTATTTTTCAGTCCTCTATTTAGTAATAGCAATAGCAATAGCAGTTAGACTTATATACCGCTTCATAGGGCTTTCAGTCCTCTCTAAGCGGTTTACAGAGTCAGCATATTGCCCCCAACAACAATCCGGGTCCTCATTTTACCCACCTCGGAAGGACGGAAGGCTGAGTCAACCCTGAGCCGGTGAGATTTGAACAGCCGAACTGCAGAACTGCAGTCAGCTGAAGTAGCCTGCAGTGCTGCATTTAACCACTGGGCCACCTCGGCTCTTCAGAGTCAAACCACAATGGTGAGTGCAAGATTGTATAGAAAACTTTCATTCTTGGCTGCTACAACTTTTTCTGTTCTCTGTTCTACCCACATCATTGCAAGCCATGCATGTGCCACACCCTGGATTATCTACAGAAGATGATAAAAAGAAAAAGGGTGATCACAATTTATTTATTATGAAATTTATTTACCACCCATCTCATTTCAAAGCAATTCTGGGCAGCTTACAATAATGGTACAATAGAAGTGCTGAATGTTTTTATGTGCATTAAAAATTGGTGAAGGATTGATTATATTGTCATGGCTGTCATCTTGATTTTTTTGATCATGCCTGTCAGAGGTGAAAAGGAGAATTTCTATGTGGTTAATGAAAAAAAATTACCAATTAATTCAGACATCTTCTGTCCATGCAGCTGATATGTGTGCAATTTTAAACCTTACATCTGTGTGCATTGTGGCTGAAAAATATTCTAATCTTTATTTGACAGAATATTGGTCCAGCATATTTTGCCTTGCCTATCAGCAATCTAATTCTTTTTATGCAATCAAAGATAACTGTGTGTGGGATGACTATGCCCAGAGCTATAAAGCTGAACAACAACAACAACAATAATATGAGAAGTAAGTAAACAAGTCTAATGATGCCATTAAGTGAGGCAATAATGATGGGCTTGGTGGACTGGTTTGGATTCTTTTTTTCTTGTTATATTTTGTTTCATTATGTTTCTGTAAAAATTGGAGAACATTATAAAATGCTATTGGGAGATGCTGAAGAGGCTGAATAAAAAAAAGCAATTTTACATAGAGCCGCTGGCGTTAGAAATGGCTAGGAACGGTGAGAGGAAAATTTGGTTAATTATGCCACAGTTTCATTGTTTGCTGCTGTACACAGATTGACACAAAAGAAATGTTTTCCAAGTACCTAGGATTTGCCCAGAAAGAGGATAATACTTAATCAACCTTGTCGGGTTGCAAAAGCTAAGCAAGGATGAATCCAGGGAATATATATATGACAAAGAACCATGAAACCAGCACAGCACTCCATGCTGGGAAATCAGTAGGACATCCCCAAAAAAGGCAAGAACAAACCAGTTATGTAGTGCTAGCAAGAAAACTATCCAATTCTGTCCATGAATATAACTGTCAGGAGTTGATCTCAACTCAAGGGAGTCATTCCACTTTTGAATCAGGATTTATCATCCATGGAGCAATAATAACTGTAAGAAAAAGTATTTCAGTAATATTGTAATTGGTATTATGACAAACCTGCCTTTAAGTGTGGCTTCTTGCCTGACTTATCCCTTTACCCCTACTATTGGTTCAATTTATCCATTGTTTAAAATACAAGAAGTTAGGGACTCTTAAATAAAACTGAATGATGGTGGATCTCATGGCATTTTTTTNCAAGTTATGTGGTAAGAAGGAAATCAACTTTTGTGAGTGAAGCAGCTATAT